TCATCAAGCGTCATCCAATTTCTACTACTGCCACAAATTAAGGATTTCAGTATTGGTATGTTTCTTTGAGTCATGAGATGCAATTTATACCTAGGCTAAGAAACTATTATAAACTTTGTATATTATAATAAGCAAATGACTTAAGTATCTTAGACACATCATGAAATTTACCCACCCCTACTGAAAGCATAATTTATACACTTTGAATGCTTAATGCATATATAATATACACGTAAACATCTATTATATGTATAAAATCATTTGAGATATTTTTAAGTGTAAAATATTGTTTCAATATTGTATTGTCCTTCGAGGGTAGTACTGTGTATACACTCATTGTCAAAGTCATATAGAGATGGCAATTTCAACCGTAAAATGTTTAACAAAGCACATTTGGCATTTTTGTGTGTGTGTGTAAAATTGGTGAAATGCAAATTTTACTATTTCTCTATGTCTGCTCTTTTTGAGTTTGCTTGTGTGTGTTTACACAATGCCTTCAGGTAATAGCGATTAACAATTAAGTCATCATTAAATTATGATTTTAAGGTCTCTCCAAATTTTTAATTTAAATATGATTATAATATTTCTCAGTTTTCTTAGTTAATGACAATACATACACGATAGAACATGGTTGTCATAAGAAGAATGAGTTGTGTGCATTTTCAACAAAATAGATTTAACCAGAAATAATCATATTAAATGAATTATAGTCATCAGAGCCTAATGGAATGTTTCCTTACTCCTGGGTTTCCTGGATTTTATATAGATAGGCAAAGCTGTGTAGGCATACCAAAGTGCATGACCCATGATATGAAAGTGAAAGGGCAATGATCCAAGTGACAAAGGGGTCTAGCAGGAGTCTTTGGGGAAGGGGAATAAAAGAGAATGGAGGATAGACAGGATTATGAGGGAGGCAGGACACATTCAACAGAAATGTGACTTTGTTGACATTTCAGTGTTTCAGTTAGAACTCTACATAACTTCATTTTCAAATTGATTTCCATCAAAGCTCCTCAATATACCAGAGTCATATTTAAGCTTAGGTTTATCTCTAATCGGTTATCATTTTTATTGTTTTCTAAATCACTTATACTCACTAATCCTTTGACCAATGTTTACATTAGTTAAAGGTTAATGAGGGGAGGTAACGCTCTGTGCACACAGCTGCAATGTTTGATTTTAAGGGTTGTCCTTTAATATCCATGATGATGTCCAGATATGAAGGACCTATGATAATTTAACCAAAGAATGAACAATCAATTCAGACCATTGTTGATGTTTTGTATATAAGGAGAAATTGCCCTTTGGCTAAAGTAGGCAAGCAGAGAAGCACAATCCTGTTTGTGAGGACACTGTAAGTACGTTTGACGATCAGAATGAATTGAAATCCTGGTCTTTTTTTCTTTACTTCAATTATCACATATAAAAGTGTCTGTTTAATTTATGTATTATTCTTTTGGAATTTGGCTTACATTTTTCTTTTTTATGTATAAATACAATTCTTAATTACTAATTGATGAATTTATCTATTAGTGTCACAAATATCTACTGTGAGTGCATTCTTTCAGGTTATCCCTTTGAGATCAGCCTCTTTAGCATCACAGAAAGCATAATTTTTGATATCGAGTAGCATAACATTTACCACCAACTGGTATTGAGTTAACCATTATTAGTAATGTTGGCCAACAATGTACTAATATATGTCTTCAAATGAAAACCCAAGAAAACAAAGTTTGGTTTGCATTATAGAATGCTTTGGTGAATTGTCCCCAATTCACTGCTTATATATGTGACTTAAGGTCATTCTAGTGAGGCAGTAAAGTATTGGAGAAGACAGTCTTTGGAAACAGTCAGCACAGTTTTAATTACAGGTGGGGGTGCTTTCCACATACATGTTGGGTCTTTCTTTGCCCATCGGCAAAGTAAAGAACATGATGCTAAGTACTTAAAAGGGGTGTTTCAATTAAATGTTAGAACATTAAATATTTATAATTATAGCAATAATAATTATGCTAACCTGCTTAATCATAATGAATATCCTGGAGCACAAAGAAATATACTCTTGTTAGCACTATTTTACAGAAAAGGGAAAAACTGTGAAAATAACTCACTTGCATACTATTGGACACATGACAGTTACTGATATTATCTGGGAATTTGGTATCAGATATTTTGAAAATTTAATCATGCCTCAAGTATTTCAGAGCCTATCTTGTATACATTTTTTTTTTTTTTGGTTTTTCAAGACTGGGTTTCTCTGTGTATCTTTGGAGCCTCTCATGGCACTCGCTCTGTAGACCAGGCTGGCCTCAAACTCACGGAGATCGGCCTGCCTCTGCCTCCCGATTGCTGGGATTAAAGGCATGTGCCACAACTGCTGGGCTCTTGTATACTTTTGTTATTGGGATATACAATAACTTAAGCCATTGGTTAAATGACCTCACTTTAGAAAGACAGATTACTTAATTGAGACAACAAAGGCTAAAAAGAAACCACAAATTCTTTAATAGCACGACAATCATCTAGCTTGTGTGTTAAAGTGGCAGTTAGTCTTTATAAATTAGTTTATTCTTTCAAGAATTTTCATTATACAGAAAATGTTTAGTTAAATCCATTTCCAAAGACATCGTTATACCCAATTTCAGGCTAAGTGGCTGAATTCTCAGACCAGATAATTAGATTTAGGTCTTGGAATCTCTGGTTCAACACCATGACTGTTGGGGACTTTGCAAAATGTGTTCAGTACTAGTGTTTACTGAAATATTGACAGCAACTGAGACCTGTAATAGTACTGGTTCATTAGCACTACCACCCTGCAAATAATAACATGGAGACTTCTTATTTATTAATTATGAAAGATAGGCCTTAGCCTAGGCTTGGCCCCAACTAACTCTTATAACTTAATTTGTTAATATTAATCTATGTTCTACCACATGGCTTTTTTATCTCTTTTCCATTTCTGTTATCCGACTTGTTCCATGCATGTCTCCTGGTATCTCTTGGCATTTCTTTTACACATAGATTCTTATTCCCAGTCTCTCTCTCTCTCTCTCTCTCTCTCTCTCTCTCTCTCTCTCTCTC